GTTGAGGATACCATCATTCTCCCAGTCACCCAGGTTAAAAACCTGAATGTCATCCTTGACTCCTCATTTTCTCTCCTAGTCCCCATCTCTAATTAGTTGTCAAATTCTGTCATTTCTACCTTCTTAACATCTCTCAGATACTCCCCTTTCTGCCCTCTTAACACCACTACTCTGGAGCAGGCCTTTCCCGCTTCATGCCTGGACTATTACAAACATCTGCTAACTGGTCTTCCTGCCTCTCAGGCTTTTCTCATTCCAGTTTATCCTCCCCTCCACTTGCAAACCACTCTACCTAAACAGCAGGTCTGACCATGTCACCCCTCTCTACGTGATAAACTCCCTATCCTAAAAATCCTGGCATTCAAAGCCCTTCATAACCTGGCATCTTCCCACTTCTCCAATCTTCCTAACATACTCTGTAATACAGTGACACTGGCTTCCTTGTTATCCCTTACATCAGACACAATACTTCCCAACTTTTCAACACTGAGCATTTTCACTGACTGTCCCCCATGCCTAGAATTTTCCTCCTTATCTGCCTCCTGACTTCCCTGGATTCCTTTGGGTCCCAATTAAAATTTCACCTTCTGCAAGAAGCCTTTCTTGATCTACCTTAATGCTACGGCCTTCCCTCCAAGATTATCAAATTGAGGCAGTTAGGTGGCCCAATGAGTAAGAGTACTATAGTTGGAGTCGGTAAGACCCAAGTTCAAAACCCGCCTCAGACACTTACTAGCTGTATGACTTTGGGTAAGACATTTAACCTCCCTCAGCCACAGTTTCTCCATCTGTAAAATAATAATTTCACCTGTCTCACAGAGTTGTTGTGAGCTTCCAATGAGATAACATGTATGGCACTTTGCATGTTGATAAAGTGTGTGCTCTCTCTCTCAAATTCTAGCTATTGTTATTATTATCTCTGATTTATCCTGTCTGCATCTTGTTTCTACATAATTGTTTGCACAATGTTTACCTCATTAGACCTTCATGAACTCCTTGAAACCAGGGACTATTTTTTGCCTTAGTAACTCTAGCTTTCAGCATAATACCCAGCATATAGTAAGAAGTTAATAAATATTTTACCTGAAATAAACATTTTGCCATCTACCTGTGCTAATAAGCAAGCATTACTCAGAGAAACAAGCTGATACTTGCATATTCTTACTCTGGCATGTTTATGGCAGTCAGGTTATAAACCCTGAATACCAACACAGCAAATTATGTCATGCTACCAATTTAATTTTTCACTACTTCTCATTTAATGCATTGGACAAAAGTCTCCCTCCTTTTATCTACTACTCCAATCTTTGAAACATGTCCGAGAAAGGGTTCCGCCTGATTATTGCTTAATTCAACTAATCTCTGGTGAAGGAAGCAGCAATACAGTCACAGACCAGCTGAATTGAAGGACAGAAGAGACAGCTCACTGAATCAAATCAGGAAAGTTAAAAGGACCCCTTACTCTCCCAATAGTCTCTCTTCTGGCCTTTCTTTCTTCCCAATACATTCCCCCATTAATTCCCTGGTTAAATGTGAAATTTGACTGCTGGCTAAATAAAACTCAGTGTTAATCTATCAATGAGGTGATTTTTTTAAGCAGGCAAATAAATAAATATGGGATCACAGGTATCAGATGCAGAAAAGACAACAGAAATCATCTAGTCCAATCCCCTCATTTTACAGATAAAGAAATTAAAGTCTAGAGAGAACATCAGCAACATTAGGACAAGATCACATAGCTAGTTCAATGTTCAAGTTCAAGACTTGGAATTCAGGAAACCTTCCAGGGGGACTCTTGACATCCCTCCAGGGCCCACAGCCTCAAAGTAACAGAGCCAGGATTCAAACCCAGGGCCTTGAAACTCCCAAATCAGAGTTCTTTTCACAACACCAGCTATCTCTCTATTTGGAAGATTAATTAGCAATTGTCTAACAGCCCTCTGATATAGTAAGTTGCCCAAAGGAAGATTTCACCTTTAAAAAAACAATCCATCTGGTAAAGACTAAACCCCCTCAGTAGCAATGATCTACAATTATGCCAAATGAAAATCCCTTCTAATAACATACAATCAAATCTTCATTTGATGCCTCATCGAAATGGAGAGACAATTCTGGCTTCTCAGCAGAACACGAGCTCTAGTACAACTTAGACATGGAGGATGAGACAGACAATGTCTGTCTCTCTGTGCTAGTTTGAGGACAGCTCATTTAATACAGGATCCTGGCCAGGTTAGCCTTATGAGGATATTTTTCAGCCACTACACCCTTCAAAGGCCATCCTACTAAATGGAAAAGGGGTTGTGATTAGTATTATTAGTGGAAGTAGTCATACCCACAATCACAGGTCATTAAAGTGAGGCAGGGCTGAGCTGGCAGGACTGAAGTATGAGATAATAAAAACCGAGACAAGTGAAGTAGAATGAATAAAAGTACTGGATTTGGGATCAGAAGACCTGGGTTCAAATCCCAGCTCCAATACTTACTATTGGTTTGATCCTGAACAAGCCATCTCACTTCTCTGAGCCTCAGTTCCTTCCTTGGTAAAGTGAGAGGGCTGGCCTAGATGGTGTCTAAGGTCCCTTCTGGCTTTGAATCTATGATCCTACTTGTCTACCGAAGGTAAAGGTTTGAAATCTCTAGGTTACTTTAAAAACTTGTTTCAAAGCACATTCACCTCTGTATTTATTTAATCTCACAATTACTCAGTGGTAGGCTTGACAATCACCTCCGGGAAGGGTACAAGAGGGCATGCTCATGACACACTTAATATTTTCTGCATCGCTTTCTTCAGTCCAGGCGATCAATAAAACAGTAAGTCAAACCGTGATTTGTATCACTTTGCTGATTTCCAGTATATAAATAAATGTTCGTGCTGAAAATTTAACGGTAAGATCTCCAGTCAGAGCTGGCTCCAGCAGATCCCTGGAATTACCCTATAACAAAGTATATTATCCCCATTTTGCAGGTGAGGAAACTGAGGCCTAGCAACCCTAAGTAAGCCAAATTCAAATAGCTAGTTTAGTATCCAAGTTCAAGACTTGAACTCAAGAGTCCAGGTCTGTGGCTCTTTCTACTACCCTTAATCCTGCCTCTCTTCCTAAGGATGATCACAAATTTATAGATGTAGGGCTGGTATTTTAGGAACTTGGAGGACATTCTAGGATCATTAATCAAAAAGGAGAAGGAACCTCAGAAACCATTTATCTCATTCATTTTATAGATGAGGAAACTAAGACCAGAATAAATCATCTAAACCAGAATTTGAATACAGGCTTCTGACTCTGAATCCAGTACAGTTTCCCCAGCCTCATTCCCTTTCAACACTAATTTCCCCACCCCCAGTACAGGAAATCCACTTAGTCCCCTGCTCTATATTCCCACAGATTAAGACAAGAAACATTATGAACCTAACAGGGCTGTCACCCTCATTGTCTCTCTTCAGAAAAGGCCATCTCTCTCAGTACTGGGATTTCCTACACCAGTTTCTCTGCTGCATTATTCCTTCACTCTTGAGTCCTAACATTGCATGCTAACTTGAAAAAATGATTAACTCCAGTCAAATACATTTCCAGTTCTGCAGAACACTGATAACATTGCAGCCACCTTCAATCACCAACTGGACCTGCTATAATTTCAGAGTAATGAACTTTTGCTATCTGAATTTGGTGCTTCAAATGTTTTACTGGTAAACCTCGTACAAGACTCAAGGTGCCAAGAGATGACGTGAAAGGAAAAGGAGGAAAAATAGCTTCAAAGCCTTGGAAAACAGATGACTAGGATTCTGCAGGGGGAGAGGAAATATGTATGCAGCCAGAGTCGAATGAGATGAAATTTTTAAAAACTGCATTAGGCAGCATGAATACTATGGATGAAGATGCTGCTATATGTATATAAGAAAGATCAGAAGGCCAAGGCTCTTTGGCCTGATCTAAGTGTCAACCACCCGTGGAAATCACACTAAAACATGGTGGTGGGTGGTGTGGTTTCTTTAATTACCATGGAGACATCAAAGCACTGCAATTTTGAGATTACAGCCCTGCCATCTCAGGAGGCACTGCCGGGAAAACATTCTTCTTTAGATGCTACACCCATTCAACAGTGGACTAGTCGTGTTCTCAAGTTTGAAATTATTTCCTGCTCCCAGAAGAGTAGTCCATGTTTAAGGGTCAAAAACACTGGTTTTGATGTCAGGAGGGAGGACAGGTCTGGTGTTTAAGAAAGCTTATAGTATTATAGATTTAGAACTGGAAGAAACCTCAGATTTGACCTAGTCCAATTAAAGATGAGGAAATGGAGGACAACAGGTCTTGGGTGATTTTCCTAAGGTCATGTAAGAAAGGAAAAAGGTAGAGCTATGATTTGAACCCAGTTTCTCTGGCTCCAAAAGGGCTCTCTCGCTATACCATCCTGTAATTCTATGACTCTGAATACTACATATACGGAGGTATTGTAGCCAAGGTAAAGTCTAACTGGGGCAGAAAGCAGCATACAGGAGAGGAGGGATCTATTTTCTCCGGGGTCAAAGGTCCCCTTCAGCTTATAATATTCCTTCCTTGATGCCCAAATTCAGTCCTATACAATGCCCAGATTCCTTCTAAGCCCACCCCATTTTCACTATGTCGGCTCCCTAAACATTTATTATTAAAAGCACTGAAATATCAACAAAGGTTGTCAAGAGCCATTTGTAGAAAAACTGAGCTTTAGAAAAATGAAGCAATTCTTTAATGAATTTCCTTCTTCTTTCACCCACTTTCCAGCCCAGATGGGAAGCATGAATATTGAAAAAAGAAGTCAACATGTGGCCTCTTGAGGCATTTCCTGAACCTCTAAAAGAGCTACTTCCAACCTTCCCTTCTAGCCTGAACGAAGTGAATTATGCATTCTCTACACTCTTAGCCAAACCCCTGGTTTAAATCAACACCTCCTCCAGGGCCCTCAATCCAGCTATTGCTCTGAGAGCCTCACAGAAGAAAGAAGCAAAGCCCTCCTCTTACACTCACCCAGAAGACAATGTTGTAGCTGAACAGAAGATACTTGTACCAACAGCTGACTTCAGCATTAGAATATCTGTAATAGTGCATCTTCTGGAAAACAGGGCCTGCACAGAAAGAAGGAAGAAATGAGTTAACAAATCACATTTAAAAGCATCTAACACCCAAACCTCCAGTCCATTCCTCTGACTCCTAGGAGACCAAAGGTGAGCCCAAAATAGTAAAGAGAAACTCACAACCAGCTAGCCAGTGAGTCACTCCATGAAATTAAAATGAAGGAAATGGTTCAATTGTGTGAATTTACTGTAGTTGGTAACAGATTGGGGAAGGGGGGAGGCACGCCAGTCTGGGCACTGGCTCCCTACCAATGCCAGACACAAGTATTGGGGAAACAGATTCCAAGGTGGCTTTCCAAAACGAACAAGGATTAAGAAATGATTAACTGTCTTCACTAACTGGAGCAGAACAGTTGTTGTTGTTCTGTCGTTTCAGTCTTGTCTGACTCTTTGTGACCCCTTTTGGGGTTTTCTTGGCAAAGACGCTGGAGTGGTTTGCTATTTCTTTCTCCAGCTCATTTTACAGATGAATAAACTAAGGCAAAGAGGGTTAAGTGATTTGCCCAGGGTCACACAGCTAGTAAATATCTGAGGCTGGATTTGAACTCAGGAAAATGAGTCTTCTTGATTCTAGGACCTATGTTTTATCCACTGTGCCACCTAGCTACCCCTGGAGCAAAACAGTAAAGGTTATCAAAAAAGAAATAGAGGGAAGAGATAACAACACAGAAAGAAAAGAAAAAAAAAGATGAGGACGGGAAACTATGAAGGAAAATTTCCCAAGTTCTCTTCCTGTGAAGGAGAAGACAGGCCTCAAAAGCCTACGTGAGCACGCTCCTTAATTTCATCAGCCACTTTTGTCTCATTCCCTTCCCCTCCAACTACACTAACCAAGCTAATCTGCTTGTTAGATTACAGTGTCTTGCTCATTCCTACGTATTTGTCTCTGAACATGCTATGGCTGTTGTTCAGCCATTTTTTAGTCATATCCGACTCTTTGTGATCCCATTTGAGGTTTTCTTGGCATGGTTTGCCATTTTCTTCTCCAGCTCATTTTACATATGAGTAAAATAAGGAAAACAGGGTTAAATGACTTGCCCAAGCATTGCTATTAAGTTATCTGAGGCCAGATTTGAATTCTGGAAGATGAGTCTTTCTGACTTCTATCCACTGTACCACCTATCTGTTGCAGAAGACCTGAGTTCAAAGCCCAGCTCAGGCACTTATTTCCTGTGTGTTCTTAGACAAGTCACTTGCTAATTCTTCTATCTATGCCTCTGACCATGCCAAGAGTGCTGGTGATAAGAATAAGATGACCTTGGCTCAAATCCTAGCTCAGCTGTTTATTTTACTTGTATGATGTTGGAAAACAAATCACTTGATCTCTAGGCTTCAGTTTCATCTGTAAATTAAGAAGGCTGGAGCAGACAGTCTCTAAGATTCCTTCTAAATCTATATCTATGATCTAGAATGCTTTCTCTCCCCAGTCTCCCCCACACACTTGCCTTCCTATTAATCCATGGGCCTCAGTTTCCTCATCTATAAAATGAAGAGGTTGGAAAGGTCCCCTTATAGCTCTGAATCTATCAGCCTTTGAACTCATGTCTTTCATCTCCTTGTAAAATGTGCTTAGAACTCACTTCTTCTCCAAAAACTTCTCAGATTAAAGAGTGACCATCCACTGGATTACTTTTACAACTTAGCACCCACTCAGCCTGTACTATATTAATCACCAACTAAGGATCACAGCATGTTGTCACTTGAAGGGAATCTTAAAGATAATGTGGTCCAGCCACTTCATTTTACAGATGACAAAAATGAGGCCCAGAGCCTTGGCCAGGGTCATATATAGCTAGAGTTGGAACTAGAAACCAGGTCTCCAGACTTACAGTTCAACATTTCTGAAAACCCATGACAGTGCCTCCTTCCAAGGGTCTTCTTGGGAGATCCAAGAGCCAAACATCATCTGTTTCTTTTGTTACCCCACCAACAGTACCAAACACAAATCTAACCATGATGGGCTCTCAGTGTTTTCTCACTGTGATGACAAGACTTGATGTCTACTGCTCCTATACAGGTATTCTCCTTTTTTTTTCCAAATAAATTTGTCTTGTAATAAAATCAACCTCTTTAAAAACATCTTAGAAACTTATTAGTCATACAACCTTTAAACTTCATGAGGGTAGGACCAGTTTTCCTTACTCAGCAATGGATAGCCTGAACAGAAACTTGAGATAACTTTTTGAAATAAGATACTATCTGCATCCAGAAAAAGAACTGACAAATAGATGTATAGATTGATTGTGCACACACGCAGATATTTGTCTGTATCACTTCCAGGAACATTCTATGAGGTTTACCTCTTTCTCCACAGAATCCTTGAAGGATACTGCAAAGTCAATGAGTGATGCTTCCCCTAACCATGATGATTCTAGAACCTGGCACTGACTCTCACATGTAGTGTAGGTGCTTAATAAATGTGTCTTGGATTAAATTTGGAGAAAACAAAGAAGGTAACTTAGGTTGCCACATGGACCAAGTTCTACTTCAGAACTATGAAAAATCTTCAAGAGCCTTCAAGGGTATGTCTCCTATAATCTCACTCATTCATTTCCCACCTACCACCTAAGCAAGATAAAGGTAGGAAAGTTCAAAAGGACACCTCAGGTAAACATTTACAGAATGGAGGAAGGAGGAGGACCTAAGTAGAGCAGGAGACAGCCGCCACCAAGCAAAAACCCTATTGTCACAGAAACCTGGGTCTGAAGCCTGAAAAAATTCCTTGGGGAAACTACAGAAAAATTCCTCTTGAATTCCACAGCAGGTCAGGATATTTGTAATGCTTCAGAAAACCGGAGGCATCCTAGTACTAATCCTTACATTCTCTCTCAGAGATGGGCATTTTAAGTGTCTCTTTGCCAATAACAGTTCTTCATCCAACAGCATAGAATGATGATAAACTGAGAAAAACTATTTCAATCTTTCAAAGACCGGCAATTTCATTGGCCTGAATGGCAGTTCCTTCCATGGACAAAGACTGCAGACAACCCACAACTCTAGACTCTCCCCTACAGTCTACTACCAGGTTTATGTGATATTCTTTTTTTCAATCCAGGATCACGTCTAAATCAAGATGATTCACCAGTAGTACTTTAATGGATGTGGCCTCCCACACACGGGACAGGTCACAGCACACCTACACCTATGATCTAACACAGGAAATCTAGGTAGTTGCTAGTGTACTGAGAGGCCTACTTGCCAGAGTTACACCAATAAAAAGTGTCAAAGGCAAGATCTGAAACTAGGCCTTCCTGCACCCAAACCCAGCACTCTCTCCACTGTGATACACCACCTTGTGAAACAGTTAATAAGAAAACAATCCCTCCAAGAAAAGAATTTGCTCACTCTTTTTTTGTGGTAGCAAAGAACTAAAAATAAAGTAGATGACCATGAACTGGGTAGAGAATGACTAAAACAATGGTACATGAATGTATGGGGCTATTATGATGCCATAAGACATAATGAATATTAAAAATTCAAAGATATATAAGAAGCTTTATATAAAATTATGCAAAAATAAAAGAAGCCAAGAAAACAAAACTTAAGTTATTGTTCAGTCACGTCCAACTCTCTATGACCTCATTCGGGGTTTTATAGGCAAAGATACTGGAATGATTTGCCATTTCTTTCTCCAGCTCATTTTACAGATGAGGAAACTGAGGCAAACAGGGTTAGGTGACTTGCCTAGGGTAACATAGCTAGTAAGTGTCTGGGGCCAGATTTGAACTCATGAAGAGGAAGGAATCAGTTCTGGTTCCAAGCCCAGTGCTCTATTCACTTCACCACCTAGCTGCCCAAAACATAAGTTACAACAATATAAATGGAAAGAAAAACAACAACGAAAACTGAATGCTGTGTAAGGTTAATGAACAAGTAACTTGGCCCAGGAGAAAAGCTGAGAAAATGTACCTCCCTCCCTTCTGTGCAGAGGTTGGGAACTAGGAGGCGTAATTGATGTGTTAGAGGTTTTGCTGACCTACTTCTCTTTTTCTTTATACTTAGTTATCAAGCCTTACTTGCTGGGTAGTACGGAATATATATATATGTGTGTATATATATATATATATATATGTGTGTGTGTGTGTGTGTGTGTGTGTGTGTGTGAGTGTGTGTGTATGTATATATATATGTATGTATGTGTAGAAACATGCACATACACATATACACATATATATATAATATAATGGGATATATTCAGAAAGGAAGATATAAAAACAAGCAACATCAACTAAAATACGTAAAGAGAAAATAAGCTTCTCAGTGTTTTCTGGATTGGGTAAGTATTCAAGACCAAGTTATGTTGTTTGGTAGAATGAAAGAAAGAACAGAGATCTTGGCATCCAGGAAACTTGAATTCAATGCTTGGCTCTGACAGAGAAGTCATCTGACCTGTCTTAAGTCTCAGTTCTCTTCATCTGTAAAATATTGACCATTACAATGTACTAGACCAATGAGGTCTAGTATTCAAATAGTAACAGATCCCTGAGGGTGGCATAATATTGACTTAGATAACCACAATTTAACATTATGTATGTTGTGTTTTTATTTATTTTTGTCAAACATTTTCCAATTACATTTTAATCTGGTTTGGGCTACACCAGGGGGTTTGGATGGAGGAATGTTAGATCAACTATCCAGAACTCTACCCAGGGTCAAAAACACACACAAACAAACAAAAACCCAGTTAAGGAACTAAGCACTTAATAATATACAAGGTCAGCTCAGGCTGCTTAGAAGATCTGACAGGACCCAGTCCAGACTGGCCTCAGAGTGTCCCTCTCCATCTCACTTAAAGTAAGCTCTAAATTGAGCTCTAACAAACAGCTGACTTTCTAATGCTTAAAACAAACAAAAAGTAAAGGTCCTAGAATATATAGTACAGTCAAGTGAATTTGCCATCAAGAAAGCTCTGAATAAGGGACCTTGTTACAGAGATGTGGTACTGTTTGATAAAGGCAAGCGGGATTAGAGAAGAGGAAAAAAATGTACAT